CGACAGCTGGGGATGCCAACAGCAGCTCCATTCCACCAAGAGGAAGACACTTGCTGTTGGGATGTGAGCTGTATCCAAACACCACTACATATCACAATACACATCATAGAATCATAGAATTGCCTGGGTTGGAAGGGACCTTTCAGATCATCGAGTTCAACCATCAAGTGAACTCTGATAAAAATCATCAATAAACTACGTCTCTAAGCATTATGTCAACCCGTCTTTTAAATCCCTCCAGTGATGGTGACTCCATCACTGCCCTGGGCAGCCTCTTCCAATGCTTAGTAACTCTTTCCCTGTAAAAGTTTTTCCTAATCTCCAATCTGAACCTCCCCTGGGGCACCCTGAGGTCATTTCCTCTTGTCCCATCGCCTGCTCCTGGGGAGAAGAGACCAACCCCCACCTCTCACGCATTGATTCACTTACTTCTTGCACATCTGATCCAGAAACCCTCCGGCCCTACTTCTGTTTTAGTTCTGAAGAGCACACCAAATTCCTCAGTGTGTACAGAACTAGGCTTTGCAGAGCCTAAACCGAGCAGTTGAGGGAGCGATGAGGGCAAGAACTCCTGTAAAAGGCAGAGAGAAGCCTGTGGTGACTTCTCACCCGTCGCTTGCAGAAGGGGAACCGACAGCTGGGGATGCCAACAGCAGCTCTGTTCCACCAAGAGGAAGACACTTGCTGTTGGGATGTGAGCTGTATCCAAACACCACTACATATCACAATACACATCATATAATCATAGAATTGCCTGGGTTGGAAGGGACCTTTCAGATCATCGAGTTCAACCATCAAGTGAACTCTGATAAAAATCATCAATAAACTACGTCTCTAAGCATTATGTCAACCCGTCTTTTAAATCCCTCCAGTGATGGTGACTCCATCACTGCCCTGGGCAGCCTCTTCCAATGCTTAGTAACTCTTTCCCTGTAAAAGTTTTTCCTAATCTCCAATCTGAACCTCCCCTGGGGCACCCTGAGGTCATTTCCTCTTGTCCCATCGCCTGCTCCTGGGGAGAAGAGACCAACACCCACCTCACGTATTGATTCACTTACTTCTTGCACATCTGATTCAGAAACCCTCCGGCCCTACTTCTATTTTAGTTCTGAAGAGCACACCAAATTGCTCAGTGTGTACAGAACTAGGCTTAGCAGAGCCTAAACTGAGCAGTTGAGGGAGCGATGAGAAGAGGGGACACCCACCAGGTATCCACCAGAAGCACCTATGGTATAAAAACATCCAAGTGTGGGCTAATCCAGTGCTCTAAAGAGAATCCACAACTTGCAATATGAGAAACTCAAGCAGGATGAACAGATCATAGAATGGTTTGGGTTGGAAGGGACCTTCAAGACCATCCAGTTCCAACCCCCTGCCCTGGGCAGGGACACCTCCCACCAGACCAGGTTGCTCCAAGCCCCATCCAGCCTGGCCTTGAACCCCTCCAGGGATGGGGCAGCCACAGCTTCTCTGGGCAACCTCTTCCATGTCAGATTATAACTGACATCAGTCCTTTGAAGCCTCATTCGTCTTAAAGGATTTCCCAAATTTTCCTCAAGCCTTAATTCTGTAGAACATTCTCATACACTGTGCAAGAAGTAACCCAAATATTTGCATGCCAAGGTGACTATTGCTACAGCCTCCAGGCATTAAATCATAGCTCCCAAAACGTTCTACAAAGAATCATAGAATGGTTGGGGTTGGAAGGGACCTCTGGAGATCACCCAGTCCAACCCCTCCACCAAAGCAGGTCCACCCAGAGCAGGTTGCACAGGAAGGTGTCCAGGTGGGTTTGAATGTCTCCAGAGAAGGAGACTCCACCACCTCTCTGGGCAGCCTCTGCCAGGGCTCTGCCACCCTCACAGGGAAGAAGTCTCCTCCTCATGTTTAGGTGGAACTTCCTCTGTTCCAGTTTGTGCCCATTCCCTCTTGTCCTGTCCCTGGGCACCACTGAAAAAAGCCTGGCCCCATCCTCCTGACACCCACCCTTGAATTATTTATTGGCGTTGATGAAGTCCCATCTCAGTCTTCTCATCTCCAGACTAAAAAGACCTAAGTCCCTCAAGCCATTCCTCATCAGAGAGATGTTCTAGTCCCCTCATCATCTTTGTAGCCCTATCTCTAGATGGAGGCTCTCGTTGGCCTGTGGACGTTACATGTGTCACGACTGTCCCTCCTCTGTGCTCACGTCCCTTCAATACTGACATATTCCCCAGGGAACAAAAAGGACAGCAAAGACCAACAGGGCACAGGGGGCCTATTGAAGCTGCCAGTCCCCATCTGCTACAACACGGGCCCCAGGGGCTGAGTCACCAAAGAAACCCAACCCAAGTATGACCTAGGAAGCAGCTGGTGAAACTTCTTGAAAACAGGAAACAAAAGGAGAGAAACCAAACAACTCTAGACAGGGATACAGTGCAATTCCTGCAGAGCTCTCTGGAAGACCTACTTCAGTACATGAAGGGTTCATGGGGAGGGAAAAAAAAATTAAAACCCACACCAAAAGAAAAGCTGTAGTTTCCTGGCTACTAAAAAAAAAAAGTAATCTTGTCTTTTTGATCCAAGAAAAACTACATTTTCAAAATTCCTATTTCTAAACCACCAGTATCACCTTGCACTGCCTGAAAATCCCAAAGCTATTACAGATAAAACATCTCATAGCATAGCACCTCAAGTATTTCCATTTTCCCCATGGTTTCTGACAAAAGTCCTTGATCATGTCAACAGCCTGCCACGTATGAGCTAGACAGACCATCTCCCTCCTGGTCCCGAGGACTGAAGCCCTTCAACAAGATCTCCCACCTCATACTGGAACCGAGCATCATTTTCAACCAAACTCACAGTTGAAGGGGCAGCTGCCTCAGAGCTTGAGGCATCTTTTCCCTCCATCTTTTTTTCTTGCTTATACACAAACACTTGAGTTTGTGTTAGCTGCCCCAATTTTGGCATCAACCTACAACAATGAAAATGCTCCCTTACCTTTAATATCGAGTTTTGCCTCCCCAACAAAAGTCACCTCAGGTACAGTTAAGTCCCACAATGATTATTACAGTTCTGGGTAACATAACTCCATAAAAACTACAAAAATTTTAAAAGAAAAAAGGTGTTTGGGAAAATTATCAACAGCTTACCAATAACTACTGATTTTCCAAATGCATTATCCAACATACTTCATTTACTTTCAGCATACTCTAATGCCCGCAGAAATAGTCTATGAAATCCCTTGATTATCCCTAAATCTGGGTATGGGATCACCCCAAAGAGTGGCATTTCCAAAGAGCCATGTTCATCAATAGTTCACCCAGGAGAAATCAATCTTTGCACCTAGTCAAGAGGAGAAAGTGTCCAGATAAAAGGGAAAAAACTCTGAAAATTAATTTCAGCTGCTCTACATTTCTTGTTTGCCCTTTGAAGTTACACGTAATTATTTAGTGAAAGTAAAACACTGGTTTTGATAGTAGATTCTGGCACATAAACCAAACATATGTTTGCAGGGGGTTGAGGTTTGAAGTCATCTCTTGTAATTCTTGAAAAGTCCTGACAAGATGGGGCAGAAAAGAGGGGGTTTTAAGAAAAAACCCAAACCCAACAAACCCCACCCACGGTCTGTAAGAAATACTCAACTCAAACCCACCTACACAAAGCCTTCTCTTCGAGGGACCTGGTGACTGAGCAGGATAAATTACTACAGTCCAAGCAATAATGATTTTATTAGGCATAGGAATAAAATAATGAGTTCTTCAGTCATTTCCATTTCTAATCTTCCTGATTCCATAATTAAGAAAACATGATTAGACAACTATAATCTTCTTCCAGTTTACTGAATCCCAGCTTACAAAGAGCCAAAATGCAGTAAAATTTGGAAATCAGTTTTAAGCAATTCAAAAGAACATATCCAGGCAAACAGTAATCTTATGCAGAACCAAGTAATATCCAACCGGAAAGAGAAGTCTCAAAAATCTTCTAAATTCATGGGGGTTTCCACCCCAAGGTAGAAAATTAAAAGTTATTGCTTTTGCCTCATCGAAAGTGAATAAATATGTATTTTTAGTTATGACACAAGAGACAAACTGGCTTTCAATACCAAATACAAATTCTAGAACAACTGAAATTGCTCTCTATCACTTGGCAGAAAGCAACAACTCCTATAAGGCAAGGATGAAGATTAAGCCATCATGGAAACAAAAGTGCTTTTTTTCAAAGTCCAAAGGCCAACAACATCCATTAAGGCCAAAAGGAGACAAAAAAAGCAACACCAGAACGAACAGGCAAGAACACTGTATTCTTTTGAAGTTTTTGGAAATGTAAACTTCAGGTTCACTTCCAGACCACTGCGCCAAAGAACGAGGTTTACAAGAAACACTTTGCCTCCAGGAAACAACTATTACAACCCTCAGACTCCAATAAGTCTTAAAAGATCCCAAGAAGTACCTTAAGCCTGCCCTTCGCAGTTTGTTCCTCCACCCTTTAGGATTTCACCAGCCTCAGGACAAGCAGGTATGACGAGCAAAGTGATTTAAGAGCCAAATTACCAGATTAGAAACTTTAAAAATTTGTCCCTTTTTTGGCTTAAGGTACAACTCGAGAGCAAGGCACAAGGAATCTACAAAGCTCTTCTTAGAAACAGACGCGAAATGTAATTTTTTGCGCAGGAAGTATTTAACGTAGGCAATTCCCTCCAAACTTCCAAGTTCCAATTTTCCAGTTTCACAGTCCAGATGGGATAGATTCACAGTTTCACCACTTAAAAAAAAGAGTTTTATTTCTTCAAATCGAGATATGGTTATAGCTACCTCCACGGGAGCAGATTGGGTGTATCACAGGGGGTGCTGCCCCGGAGCTAAGCACATCATCCAGGTCTGTCAAATCCACTTCAGGAGCTGTGAAGCAAGTACTCGGGATCTGGGACTCAAATTAGCTGAAATATAGAATAGATTAAACTGTAATAACTCTAAATAGAGCTGAACGATTGAAGAATGGATAGTTACTTGTAGTCAAGATTTTGTACTAGAAACGTTTATTCTGTAGAGCAAGCAACCGAACTGGAGAAGATACAGAATGCAGATTTATTATTTTTGTTGGGTATAAAAATCAACTCTAATAACAGCTTTTTAATTAAAACTATTTTATTTATCAGCTTGATTGCTCATAATTACTCCTCTCAATCAATAAGCAGTCCAATACTTGGCTTAACTTGAAAGACTAATTTAAGCAACTTCTTCTTAAGACGGAATTAAATCTCTAACTCATTCTCTCAAGTGAAATGGGTTGAATTATACCCGTTACAAAAGGGTACAGAGGAAACATTAACTGCATATTAAACTGGAAAATTAACTGGACAAAGCTTCACATTTAATACAATTATGAAAGACAGATAATGGAAAAAAAAATCTTAAATTAAGATTTTTCCAGTTGTAGCAAAGGGCACCATAAATCATTTTTAAGAAGTTGTAGCTTTTAAATATTTTTTTTTTTTTCCATAAAAATATATATAGGAGAAATCAAACTAATTTCCTAACAGAGGTGAAACAAAGCAAAGCAGTCAGAATAAAGGAATGTTTCTCAACTCGATCCGTTTATCTAACAAATTCCCTCTTGGCAGAGCATTAAAACGCCTCCTATTAACAATCACGACACCAACATTGTAAGAACCTCCACCCTCTAAAAATAATTAGACAGACGAGTTTTCCAAAGAAGGTCCAACACACACTAATTCTCCAAGATAACATACACTTTAAAAAGCACGGACGGGAGTTAACAGCGCTACTCAAATCAACGCTCTCTATCACCACACACGCTCCCTTCTAATTTTCAAGTGCTAAATCCTATATCTTCAAAAAAAAAAAAAAAAAAAAAAAAAGGGTTTTTTGTTCCTCCTAGGAGATTTCTAACCAACAAACAAGAAGACTCTGCAACATTTCCAATTAGTTCAGCTTGGTTTTAATGATACGGGGCAATTCTTAGAGCGGACATTGCGTAGCTAAGAACTACAAAAATAAAGACCTTTACTGATGTGGTCTGAGAATCCCAATTTGAACTGTAAATTTGAACCAAGGTAATTAACTGAAAAGCCAGAGTATCTGAAAACGCACACTAAGGGTTTTGGGTTGTTTTTTTTTTTTACTTCAATTTTGCAGTATTACTTGAAGAACTTGGAAAAAGTGAAGTTGGCAGAACAACATATATCACCAAGGTTACAAAAACTGGAAGGAAAGAATACATTGCAACAGTGATCCTCATTAAGTGAAGTTATTTCATCACAATAAATGTTTAAAAAAGTGTCAATGTTATTTAAAAAGTCCCTCCCCGCCCCCCCCCCCAAATATTTGAAGACAGATAAACCTTTTTCCTTAGTCAAAATGGCTTTTAAAAAAAGTTTCTCAAAACAACAGCAATAATCAAAAAACATGAATTGCATTTTCTTTAATCCATAACATCTCTAGTGCTGAAGGGCCATCCATGTAAAAAGCAGATTCTTTGGGGACATTAGTCAATTAACTTAACGAAACCCAGTTTTACGAGGATTTATCCTTCCTGCTACGAGGCGAGTCTGCTCCATTTGAGGTCACTGTTCCATTTATTCCATTTTCTAGAAAAAAGAAGAATACATTTCTAAATACAGTGAGACTCCATATTTTATGACTTTTTCATAGATCCTACACAAACGGCCTTTTAACTTCTTCTCTGATGTATCATCTACGTCAAACCTCATCATTATCACTCCTAATGCAACACTAGAGTGAAGTTTTTACAAAGTGCAAAATTTAAAGCTTACTGTGATAAAATCTGGTTTCCTGACATAGGCCAGAGACTGAAATGTGTACATTACATACATCTACACTGAAAAATCAAGATCAGCTATAATGTTTCAGAAGATATTATCTTAAAAAGTAAAACACTCAACCTGCCTATGAGACTATCCTGTGAAATTTTGGAGACACACAATATACAAATAATTCCCTGGTATTGTTTTTTACTGTTTATCCCACTTATTTCGTATTTTAATTCTTGCTAAAATTGCACTCCTTCACTTACCTTGACACGCTTTTCATTTATATAGGAAATCTTTATATACACACAATTTTTAAGCATATACTTCAGCATATTGAATTCATTTATATTCTGATGCAGATCTTTACATAGATAAGATAGAAGTAGAACACAAGTTTTACCAGTTTTGCACTGTAGAACAATGATCCACAATCTATGGAATTATAATACACACAATTTACAGAAATAGAGCAACATGACACCACTGTCAATTAAAAGTATCCCCTTTTTTCAGCATCACTGCAACCAAAGAAGGAGGGATGTTGCCCAACAGTATATTTATCTAATATTAATATTTATAAACCAGTCTGAAGAGCAGAGTGCATGGCCAGCTGTAATGCTTACTGCTTAACACCTCTGCTCTGACTTACAGTATTATTCTGACTTCAAGCACGTGTTGTGGGGTTTTTTTTGTACAAAAAAAAAAAGGTTAAATTAATGTTTTCCACCTGCAGATGCGTTGCACGTAACTACAGAGCGTGGCAAATCCATTAAAACAACTGTTATCTCCCTTCTCTCCCTCACTACCCCCAAAATGCTCCCATTTATGCAAAGAGGCAACTAAAAGAAAATAATAAAATTGGAAACATCTGAGGATGAGACTGGACAGAGGCCCAGTTAGTCACACAGGAACAAAGGTCCATCCAATGGATTGGGCTGTAAATACCACCACCATTTTAAGCTTATATAAAGTGGTCTTTGGATACTTTTCAAAAAGTTTGTGATATTCTTAAATCAAGAAGCTTATGAACAATATGCTAGATCCAAGCCCTGAAGTGTTCCAAGGCCAGGCTGGATGGGGCTTTGGGCAACCTGGTCTGGTGGGAGGTGTCCCTGCCCATGGCAGGGGGGCTGGAACTCAGTGATCCTGAAGGTCTCTTCCACCTATTCTATAATTCTGAGCCAACTAATTGAAATCTCATTTTGTTTAAATGGTTAAGGCAAAACAAGTGTGAGTAAAACAAAGAACAAGAACCAGCATGTGCCTGGGTACCCCACCTACATCACCAGTAGGATTTTACTACTGTCATTTCTTGCTTTTGGCATAGTCTAAAAGTACCACGTTTTACTGTACCCTGGCTCCCCAAAATCCACCCAACCACAAAAACAAAATAGCCAAAAAAACTCAAAACATTTTAAAAAGTTCAAATACACTGCCTTGCTGCATCTTGTGTAAGTGTTCTGAAGAATCTGGAATAACACTAGCCTTTCCCATTTTAAGGTTCTTTTCTTCCCATTTAAAATAAGCTGTAAAAATCCCCAGTCTTTGAGACAGGCGTAGCTCAATTATTTTGTGAATATAACCACAAATCCAATTAACTGCCTTTTTCACTATTCCTTTACCACTTGAAAGTCTCCATTGAAGTTGGGTGAAAACTAGCAAATACACCGAATTACACCAATGAAACAGTTTAAGGGATTTTTAAAAGACACATTTTTGACTAATTAAAATGCCAGTTAAATTTACGCTCTAAAAATATCTGTTACTGATTCCACCAAACCCATCGTAAGACACAATGAATGTGATGCTCTGATTAAGATGGACATCTACATATGAAACTACCTTCATGCAATTAAAGAACAAAACAAAAAAAAAATCCAACTGGATTTTCTGATGAAAAAAAACACTCAACAACACATAAAAGCAAAATTGTGATAATTACAAGTCATCAAAAGGGAGTACAGAAATACTCCCAAAACACGTCATTTTAATAAAAATGAACCTTGAAAAAAAAAATAATAAATCTCTGCTGACCATAAATCTCAGTCCTTGGTGCAAATGGTCTTCAAACACATTACTTTCAGTATACCAAAAAAAGTGAAACATTTTTAGTAAAACCAGTCCAATATAAGCTTATTTACTGGATTATCAAATGAACTCACTGCCCTGCAACCTCAGAGTTTAGCAGTGATGAAAAACAAACTCGAAATTAATTGCAAGAAAAATTTAGGAATAATTGATTAGGAGAACAGATCTAAAAACGTGTCTCTTCCCTTTTTAAAAGAGCAAAATGGAAGGTTGACAAAATTCACTCAAGTAATAAAAATTAAACATAATAAAAATCTGTTTCATTAACTAAAAAAATTGTAATTCCTTCATTCAGTCAATTAGAAGAGAAAAACAAAACAACTAATACGTAGTGAGTTTTTTAAATTAAAAAAAAACACCACAAAACCAGAAACCCACAACAACAGCATTCACCAATACTGCTTCTGTAAGTGAGTCATCTCACTTGCAAGTGAAACATAAAATCTTTCTTTAGCAATTACATTTAAAAAAAGGCCCTCTGTTACCTAAAATTGAGAAGTGAAGGTAACAAGATAACCAAAAATACAAACCTCTTTCTTTTCTGGAGGTCTTTCCTTTAGCTGTTACGAACTTCTTTTTCACTGACTGAGGCTGAGAAGAAGAATGCTCTCTCCACCTCCGAAGCTGGAAATTAATGAACTTCCACATCATAAATGCTTGAGTCATGCAGATGGAGGCCAGCACGCTGATTCTAGAAACAAAATGCAAGTAAAGGTTTATCAGTAAATTTAACTCTGAGTTAGCTCACATAGAGAGACTGGGCTTAGCACAACTGAACAAAACTAGATATAGAATCATAGGATGGTTTGGGTTGGAAGGGACCTTAAAGACCATCCAGTTCCAACCCCCTCCCCTGGGCAGGGACACCTCCCACCAGACCAGGTTGCTCCAAGCCCCATCCAGCCTGGCCTTGAACCCCTCCAGGGATGGGGCAGCCACAGCTTCTCTGGGCAACCTCTTCCAGGCTCTCACCACCCTCACAGCAAAGAATTTCTTCCTGAGATCTCATCTCAATCTTCCCTCTTTCAGTTTGACACTGTTCCCCCTCATCCTCTGGCTCCCCTCCCTGATCCAGAGTCCCTCCCCATCTCTCCTGGAGCCCCCTTTAGGGACTGGAAGGGGCTCTAAGGTCTCCCCAGAGCCTTCTCTTCTCCAGGCTGGACACCCTCAACTGTCTGAAATCTTTGCTTCTCCATCAAAACTGGGCAGCACTGGATTTCTTTCCCTCAGTATTACTCTCAAGGTACCAGGTAGTAACAGCTGAAAATAGTTTAAGAGGGTCTTGCAGTTAAGAGCATCAGTTCTGCAGGGTAATGCTGACATTGACAATGTTTTAATAACTTCCTTTTCTGGATTTAATTCATAAAAAAGGCCAGGTGGTTCACTGAACATTCTGCAGCACACAGCAGCAATAGGAGACTAATAATGAAGGCAGAGGAAGAGAGGTAGGAAGCTCTGGGCATGATGCCCTGACCTCTATAAACTCACTGCAATTATATCTAGAATTCAATTCACTAACTCTAAAACATTTGAAAGTAATCTCTGTAATTGGATATTCCTTTTCATTGTTTTTTTTTCTTCTGACCAAAAAAAAAAAAGTAACCAGTTACAGATTTCTCAGCTGCAGACTGTAAATTCTTCAATTCATTTCACTGTACTTGCAGTTAAGAGCATCAGTTCTGCAGGGTAATGCTGACATTGACAATGTTTTAATAACTTCCTTTTCTGGATTTAATTCATAAAAAAGGCCAGGTGGTTCACTGAACATTCTGCAGCACACAGCAGCAATAGGAGACTAATAATGAAGGCAGAGGAAGAGAGGTAGGAAGCTCTGGGCATGATGCCCTGACCTCTATAAACTCACTGCAATTATATCTAGAATTCAATTCACTAACTCTAAAACATTTGAAAGTAATCTCTGTAATTGGATATTCCTTTTCATTGTTTTTTTTCCTTCTGACCAAAAAAAAAAAAAAGTAACCAGTTACAGACTTCTCAGCTGTAGATTGTAAATTCTTCATTTCATTTCACTGTGCCTTGCAAGTTTGTTACAGAAGATACTCATCTTGATCCCACTGGTTGCCCAAAAACACCCAACCATTCAGAATTATTAGCATTAAATACCATTGCTGTTTACATTGTGTATTTAACACAGGTTTATAGCTCACACTTGCAAGCTGTTCCAGGGTTACTGTACCTGACAGCCAGGATATTAAAGTTCCCAGTACTGAAATTCAGCTGCTGATCTTCTGCTCTTGCCAATCCAAAGCCAAAAGTGAGGACTGAGAGAATCAAGGTGAGAAGCCTTCCCAAAACAAAAAGAACTGCCCACAGTGAAAATCTACAAAGAAAAACACCACAAGCACGAAATAAATTTTCCGTTCATGATACAAGTACTGACAATGCAAATGTTTACCCTTCACCAGGTGAATTTGTTTGAAACTTGAGAATTTCAATTCATTATTTCACACCCATCCTAAACTAGCCTTGTATTTTTAATGTTCACAGAAGAGAAAAAGCAAGCGAAGTCCTGCCTCACAACCTTCTTTATTAACAAACCGATTTCAACTCAACACTAAGTGCTTTCCATTAGTATCAGAACATAAACTTATTAGTAGTACCTGTATAAGCAATAAAGTGCTTTCCATTAGTATCAGAACATAAACATATTATTAGTACCTACAAAACTATATAAGCAATGTATTCTGTTCCTTTCTTCTACAAAACCTCTTAAAAAATATTAATACATAGAGTAGGATTTTATTTCATTTTGTACCGCTACTAACATTTACTTAAATAAGGTAAAAAACCCAGTTTTAGAGATATAAATACTAGAAGTAGTCTGCAGAACTGTGGCCTCTTAGGAAACACTGAACTTCCTTGCAATTTTAGTTTCTGGTCAGTTAAATGCACAAGGCTTTTGAGACAGAACTTATGTGAATTTAAAAGATGAAGCCCACTTACCCTTTCTGGTATCTTTCATCACTGAAGTAGAAAAGACGGGATATATGGAAAAGAAATTCAACGAAGTAATGCAATACCAGAAGAACAAGTCCAAGATGGGTCAGACTATCAAAACAAATTAAAACAAACATTCAGGTATTTAGTCAGATGTTTAAGGCAGAGAATGAAGCCAGCAAAAGCTTACAATTGACTTACTTGAGGAGATAGGCTCCAGCAATATGGAAAAGATAAAGGCCAATGTAGACAATCTGGCGAAAGATATCTTCCTATTGAGAAGAAAAAAGTCATTATGCTTTATATGCAGTGTTATACATTATTGTATTGTGTCCTATATTATTACAAACTACTCCCTGGTCTTGGAAATTCTTCATGGTTTATCAGCTACATAACATGGCCTGTTCTGCCACTGAATCACTCAGCCTAGATCATCTAATCCCACACATAACTTATTGCTTACTCATAATATTCGGCATCTTAGATGTACACTATTGTGAGCAAACACATAAAGCATCCAAAGGATGCTTTTTAAAAGGGCCCTTTTTCATCTGATACGACTACTGTGGATTTGTACTAGCTATTACAATACTTATTTGGTATTTCTTACTGCATAATCAGGTAACTTCCTACAGTTCTGCATGTTTGTGGCCCATAAGATTGCTACAAAAATAAAATCACAATCTATGAACCAAAATGAGAAGGTTTCCAAGTGTTGACATCTATTTTAAAAAATAAAGATCATCCAAGATTCTGGCACATCGTTACTGGCAAATACGGAGAATAATGTCATTAACCAGTCATGCTAAGCCAAATGGTCACACTTCAAGACAGGTTCTAGCCAGAGCCACTCAATTTAACTCTTCACAAAGATGAAATAATAAAGAAGAAGAGACATGAAATGAAGTATAGACGCACAGCACATGGAAAGCAGAAGGTGCCATCTGTAAGTAAAAAAAAAAATCACTAAATCACAATAAAAATCTGTCTTGCAGTGGCAAGCAGAGTATGTTCAGTTGTGCTTATGAAAAACTCCTATGTTTTGGAGAGATTCCCTAAAATTCAAGCAAGGGGGGCTTCAGCTTTGTGACAGAACGATTTGGGTTGGAAGGGACCTTCAAGATCATTGAGTTTCAATTCCCTGCCCTGGGCAGGGACACCTCCCACCAGACCAGGTTGCTCCAAGGCCCATCCAGCCTGGCCTTGAACCCCTCCAGGGATGGGGCAGCCACAGCTTCTCTGGGCAACCTCTTCCAGGGTCTCACCACCCTCACAGCAAAGAATTTCTTCCTAAAATCTGATCTAATCTCCCCTCTTTCAGATTAAAATCATCGCTTCTTGTCCTGTCACTAGAAGACCTTTTTATCAGGGCCTTCTCCATCTTTCTTATATGCCCCCTTCAGATATTGAGAAGCCACGATAAGGTCTCTCTGGAGCCTTCTCTTCTCCAGGCTGAACCCCCCAACTCTCTCAGTCTGTCCTCACAGCAGAGGGGTTCCAGCCCTTGGAGCATCTTTGTGGCCTCCTCTGGACCCGTTCCAACAGGTCCATGTCCTTCCTGTGCTGAGGACTCCAGAGCTGGACACAGAGCTCCAGGTAGGGTCTCCCCAGGGCAGAGCAGAGGGGCAGAATCACCTCCCTTGATTTGCTGCTCCACCACAGAAGGCCACTCAATTAGTCAGGCATGACTTGCCCTTGGTGAAGCCACTTTGAAGAGTTTAAAACAGAAAAGCTTAAAAAGGAATCTGCATATGCAAAATAAGCCTGAGCAAAAAACATGCAGAGAGACTACCTATATCAGTCCAGGGAGGCAAAAAAACTGCTAGGAAAAAAAAAAAAAAAAAAAAATAAATCGACAGCAATCTCGGTATTTTGAGAACCCCAACAGAGGAAACCCTTAGGGGGAAAAAAAAAAAAAAGAAAAAAAAGAATGCTGTTAAAAATTGAGCACTGAAAAAAATCTCAATACACAACTAACCAGAACTTCTGCTAAGGATAGTAGTAAAATCCCAGATTTCAACACTCCTTGAATTTATGAAATTATTTACTGCTTATATTCTACACTTGTATCACAATTCATGAAGCAATTCTAGATTTCAGTAAGACTATTCAGGCTACTAATTACAAGAAACAAAATAGTTTGAAAAGAAAGTCTCACATTCATTTGCTTAAGAGAAAATTCTTTTAGGAGATGAGAAACACTAGTCATTTTTATTTACAAAACAGATATTCTATTGCAATTAGAAAGAGAGGATTTAGCTGAAAAGAAAAAGCCCTACCTTCTCACATAGACATTTGAGCACCCAAAATTCCACCAGGAAAAGTGGGTAACACAAATAAGAACAGGGTAGGAAATCCAAGGTAGCACATAACTCTACAAGTCCAAAGGTCATTAGCTTTTCCACTGTTTGAGTTGCTTTGTCTGGAATTCTTTTGATTTACATTTTGAACTTACTTTTTTAGTTTTCTGGAAGTACAATTCTGGAAAAGCATGAAACCAGTATGCCAACTGTAAGATGTAGAAAAACTTCATCTGAAACCTGTACAATACAGCAAGAATTGAAGAATATTACTTTTTATTACATTTAATCAACGTCTCTAAAGGAAGAAAAATACAGACTCCACCTACCAGCCAATTCAAAAGTAAGATTTTTTTAAAAAACAAATTCATAAAAGATAAATTAAACTTGCAAAAAAATAATTCTTCATATATTAGCCTACAGAAAGAGAACTCTGTATGCTATAAGTTGTCAGAGAAACAAGCTCCTCCATAAATAAGAGCAAAAATAAATTAATGACTAATAATAGTTTTATAGACTACTTATTCTACCCAAATTGTGTGTGACACACCCTAAGTTTAAAACACTCCCTCCTCTCCCCAACAACCCTCTAAGGAAGAGGCCTTACGGAATAAGAGTGTGCGGATAGTCCCTCCACAGAGAGGTTGGATCTGATATATAGTTCTCCTAAAAAAAAAAACAACAAACAAAAAACCCAATAAGCCCTCAAAGATGTTACTTCCTAGTCAGAAATCCAAGAATGAATATACATACATGTGCGTATTTGTGTATACGCACATGTATACATACAAACATGCACATATCTACACAAGTAAAAACTGTAGATCAATATATTCCCTTTTACAAAAAAAACCCAAAACAAACAAACCCAAACCAACCAAACAACAGCTGTATTGGCTTAGAAAAATAGAAAGCAACCAAACAAACCAAGCATTCATTCAAGATAACCTCTGTGTTATAGGAACACTCTTATTTCAGCATCACTACAGCCATAAGTCTTCCCTTGTAAACTGCTGACAAGTTTTAAGCTAAATGAAGGTAAGTCTTTTCAGCAGTCATTATGTTAAAGAAAAAAATAAAATCACAGAACTCTTCCCTTTCTCTGAAACTTAGCTCATGCACAACCACTAGCAAACAGTATGTCATCTGAAAACACACACTCACCTGAGCCTATAGCTATCTCCCACCACCCCCATTCCCCAGGCTGCCAAAATGCTACGTATGATGCTTTTTTAACATTTATTTTGCCCTAATGAGTCAACACAGGAAAAACTACAGAGAATGAAGTAGCCTAACAGAGTTAAAAAGTTTTACCTTATATTCAGTTGACAGTAAATCAAATTAACTCAGACTGAGAAACAGTAACACTATTGCACTTTATACTCAGTTATCACTACACCAAATCCCTAAACTTGTCCCTGCTTAACATTAAAGCCAGCTAAAACCCCCCAAAAAAGCCCCAAACCTCCTTATTTCTCATCCACATAAGCCAAGCTTTTGAAATCTCCTAATACAAACAGAAGAGAGCATACTTACAGAGACCAGAATGCTTATTCCCCAAACACAGGAGAAAAGGTAGAAGGCGCTGAGTTGGCCGGACTCATTGAACTTGCTATGCTTTGTTTTTGAAAAGTGCATTTTCCTGTTAATTTTCTGAAAAGAAAGCCCATTGTTATTTATGTGCTGTAGTACTTCACTCACGTACCTGTTAACTGCATTAGAACATCTAAAACTTTCAAAGCATGTTTTAACAGTTAAAAGCTTTAACGTTAAAGTTAATAGTTTAAAAGTCTCATTAAAACCTGACAATTATCTTGATGAAAGGGATTAATATTTGGTACTTACATCCAGTACATACTCCTGAATTATAGCATGTATGATTATTGCTACAAGCATGTAGAAGAATATTGTAGCCAAGTCTTTGATGCCATAGTGATAGAGGGAGATTGTTTCTGCAGATTGTTCTTCTAAAAGACAAACAAAATTAACTGTTAGGCACCAATACGGTTTAATCACTAGTAAGTTTGTTTTTTCAAAGGGAAACCTTTCAAACACAGGTAGTTTGTAGCCAAATTAAAACTGCCATCATGAATTGGATCGCTAGATTCTTCACAGTCATCTTTTCCATCAAACCACAAACTAAAATTGATTCTGGAAAGATGTACTATAAAATATGAAAACTTAAGCACAGTTATGAAGCTTACCCAAATGCACCAAAAGGGGACAATAAAGTGATGTTAAACTATCACCCTGCTTTGACTAGTAAAGATTGGTACTTAGAAAACCAGAGTAAGAATTGATGTGAACTTATCTACCAGTCAGGTGGTGTTTCAGCACTAATGATTAACCCAGCAGAACAGAAACGTTGCCCCTAACCTAATTAAAAGGGAGTTTTACTAAAAATAAAGTGGAGTCCTCGAAAATTGCTCAGTATCTATTCATATTGACACATTCACTTGACCCTCAGTCTATAAAGGGTGACACACTGATGTCTGAACACAACATAAGGAACCTCCTGCAAGATACACACCTGTGGCAGGAATGGTAACGTTGTACTGAAGTGTAACAAAAATGACTGCTGCTTTTGCTGTAATCTGAAAGAGGAAAAATAAAATATGTTAAGTGCTATAAATTCTCAGGGAAATAAACTACATTAAACTGAAAACATTTGCCCGTAGTCTCAGCACCCTTCCCCAGCACGTTGGTCCCCTCCCATGAACCTGCTCAATTCACATCATCACACCATTTCACCTGACTTTCCAAAGGCAAAACACGTTGCGTGATCTTTATAGGTCTGTTTACAGAATACCCCATCTCCCCAATGAAATATCCTCAAAAATGCTACTTACAAATGGTCTTTCCTACAACACTAAACCGAAAACACACGCTGCAATTCTCTGTATTATTATATTAACAGCACGTACAAAATCATGCAATCCCTAGAACCCGACGCACGGAGCCGTGGCTGAGAATAAACTTCATTTAAAACTGCTTCTTGACAACATTTGAAGGTCAGTTATCGTTTTCATAAATCAGTGGGTGATCTGGAAAAACGTGGAGAGGAAAGGAGAAAAGGCATAAAGAAAGGAGAAGGGTTTTGGGCCAGCCTGCATACCAACTCAATACGATTAGCATTCCTTCGACCCCGGGGATCCTCTGGCAAGAAGAGCAAAACAAAAGAAATGAAATTTAGCAGCAGTGGTACCACTCCTTCATGATGGACAGTAAGGAAAAGCAGAACGAATAAAAGAGAGCAGGGGGAAAAAGAAAGTGGTTTGGTTTTTTTTTTGGGGGGTGGGTGGTGATACTATAAACCCCCTAATAAATAAGCAGCAGCACAAGTTCTTATCTGTCAATATGCACCAATTAATTTTCAACTTCAACACAGCTTTCTCAAATTCCAACACGAATCAAGGTGTCTTAGAAAAGAAGAAAACTAACCATGCTTTACAATAGTTATGGTCTGATACTTTTCCCACTGCTTTGAAAACGTACCATCTTTGTTGCATTTATAAGACTGACCAAAAAAAAACCCAACAAAAACTCAACAAACCCCCAGATTTCTTTGTGAACCAGGAATGGGTATGTTGGGTATCTGAAGATGATGACTGGGTTATCATCAGCTTTTATTATCACTCACAAGAAATGAGACTTACTTCTTAGAATTAGCACTTTGTAAATTCCCTAGTTTTTCTAGGAATCCCTGAATACACACTCGACCACTCACTCCATGGAAATTCAGGGAATACAACTAGTTTGCCTGAATTAGCAAAGCTGCCTCGGGCTCCTTATTCATCAAAGGAGCCCTCTGAGGACAATTCTAAACCTTAAGTCAATTCTTCAGCTGCCCTTTGAAGGCTCTGTGGGCAACTCACAAAGTCCTAATTTAGCGTCCCAAGCCAGGCAGCGCAAACACCAGACAAATGTTAACCACAGCAGGTGATTTCCAAGACCTATTTATCAAAGTGTTTGAAAAAAACCAAAGAAAAATGGCTAAAATATTCGTAGTCATACCACATGTGCCAACGGGGCATATGGCCAGTCTACGCCAGGGTACAAAACGCCCCGGATTTAAAAAAAATGGAAAGAAAAACTTCAGCACGTAGAATTATGTAATGGTTTGGGTTGGAAGGGACCTTAAAGATCATCCAGTTCCAACCCCCTGCCCTGGGCAGGGACACCTCCCACCAGACCAGGTTGCTCCAAGCCCCATCCAGCCTGGCCTTGAACCCCTCCAAATATCCAACCCCCTCAAAACTCCCAACCCTACCAGTAACGCTGTAAATACAGTAAGGCAGAAGGAAACATACCAGGTAATGGTTTAAATCCATCTCTTCAACCTCAATCCCCAGAAAATAACCATATAAGGACCATCTTGGCGTTTTTTGATTCCAAACCATAACAACTTTCATGGTTTGCTCTGCTTTTTCTTTCCATATGTTTATCCCCCCCACACCCAACTCCTCCGGCCTCTCGCCCTGAGCGGTTGTGACACCTGGATAAAATCATTCTGAAAAACGTCCACGTAACACAAAGGCTCAGGGCTCTAAAAGAAAACGGCTAAAACACTGAAAAAGCCAGAAACACGTAGCCAAAGGAAATGGGAGCTCCTCACTTTGACGGGACACGACGGATGTGGTTTTGGAAGTCAGGCAGAGAGACAGACCACGTTTCTCCCAGAAGAGCCAGAAAAAGGGGCACGCTTTGGCCCAGCAGACAACCTTCAAGGCCTGGTTGCCCCCCCCCTCCACCCGCGTTTAATTAAACCCTCTCGTCATTTAGGAAGAGCGTTAATTATCCACGTCCACCGTTGAGGCCTGAGGAGAAGGGCCTCACTCAGGGCCCAGAGGCTGCCGCCAAACCCAATGGTGGGGTGTGTGCGTGTTGGGGGGTGTGTGTGGGTGTTGGGGGTGGGTACGTGTGTGTGTGTGTGT